CGTCAAAAGGGTGCAATATTTCCATCCTTCTTGTTTTCTTGCCCGAGCATGACCTAAATTCTTCTTCTAACATTATCAGTTATCAATCATTAACAACTATTGGAAAACAACTAAAAAATCCGTGGATCCATTTGGAATTTTACTGAAATAATAGTCAGCATAATAGCATTGGCAAAAGAGCAATAGTTTGTTGTTTATTTTCCCTATTTCTATTAAAAAAATCATACTCATTTCATCCATGCCTCACCTGCAGTGGCTCTATGTCCCCCTAGGGTGCTTGTCCCACAGTTTGAGAACCACGGGAAGAAAGTAAGTCTCAAATGTAGCCTAATGTACACTCAATGGCCCCTTTATTAGGTACACCTTGCTAGTACCGGGTTGGACGTCCTTTTGCCTTTAGAACTGCCTTAATTATTTGTGGCATAGATTCAACAAGGTGCTGGAAACACTCCTCAGAGATTTTGGTCCAGATTGACATGATAGCATCACACAGTTGCTGCAGATTTGTCAGCTGCACATCCATGAAGAGAATCTCCAGTTCCAACACATCCCAAAGGTGCTCTATTGGATTGAGATCTGGTGACTGTGGAGGCCATTGGAGTACAGTGAACTCATTGTCATGTTCAAGAAACCAGTTTGAGATGATTTGAGCTTTGTGGCATGGTGTGTTATGCTGCTGGAAGTAGCCATCAGAAGATGGGTACACTGTGGTCATAAAGGGATGGACAAGGTCAGCAACAATACTCAGGTAGGCTGTGGTATTTAAACCATGCTCAGTTGGTAGTAATGGGCCCAAAGTGTGCCAAGAAAATATCCCCCACACCATTACACCACCAGCACCACCAGCCTGAACTGTTGATACAAGGCAGAATGGATCCATGCTTTCATGTTGTTTACACCAAATTCTGACCCTACCATCTGAATGTTGCTAAACTCATCAGACCAGGCAACATTTTTCCAATCTTCTATTGTCCAGTTTTGGTGAGCCTGTGTGAACTGTAGCCTCAGTTTCCTGTTGTTAGCTGACAGGAGTGGCACCTGGTGTGGTCTTCTGCTGCTGTAGTCCATCTGCTTCAAGGTTGGATGTGTTGTTGGTTCAGAGATGGTCTTCTGCAGACCTTGGTTGGTTTGGACTTCAGCAAGTCGTCTTGACCATGTCTACATGCCTAAATGCATTGAGCTGCTGCCATGGGATTGACTGAGGAGCAGTTGAACAGGCTCTTCAGACACCCCAGACTGTACTAAACATATCTGATTTAACAGGAAGACAATTATTATCATTTTAAATCAGTCATTATTATCAGTATGTATGTGTATGCTGACCCCGAGCTCCAAGACAAATTTCTCTAAGGAGACCAATAAATGAACTAAACTGAACATCATATTAATTTTTACTTGTTTATATAATCATGTCCTCAGTCCATGAATGAACAAGTACATTCACACACTAACATGTGAGGTAACAGAACATGATTCATATGAGCATGTTCCTGCTTATGTGTGCATAAAAAGTGGACACAGCATATCCGGTCAATATGTGTGAATCTGCATTTCAGCATTTATGTAACATTTGAGCCTATCAGGGTTATGTTTTATGGTTCACCAGGTCCAGTGGCACTGCCCTCTGCTCTGCATATGTCAGACTTGCCTTGGGGTTTCTGTTGCTGTTCTGGTTTATCTCTGACCCCTGATGTTTAATTCAGCCAGGCTTGTGATGATGTCTGATGGCCTTTGGCTATTTCAGTCATAGCTTTGCTGTCCTTAGCTTGTTTACACCCAGCAGCACCTGAACATCACAATATTTTTGATGTACTTGGAGTTAATTAATATTTGAATCTTAACCTTTCTGCATATTTTCCTTGATCACATGTTGGTATTGTACATGCTAATCCATTATATTTATAACAGTCTCCGTAATTTATAGTTCATTTAATAGAAAGTTAAGAATATACAAATTTCATTATCTGCAAACATAGTGATGGAGCCAGGTGAGACAATGTGACCTAAACAGGGTAGCACAAAGATATGCATTTAAAGGTATTCCATGTAGGATTTCCCTAAAAAAGACCCTGGCTTTCTTCATATTTTACTAAGTTCAGTGCACAAGTGAGATTGGGACATAAACATACCGCCCAGGTACCAGACTGAAAGCAGCGCTCATCCAAGAGGGAGCCAAGAAAATACATTTCCAATACACCTCTGTCTTCCCCTGTTGGCTGGCTACAAAAGGTCATAAGGGTCATAAACATGGCCACCTCCAGGGCCACAATAAAAAATCAAAGAATATGTCAAATACACTTTTCCCAAAGATGGTTTCTATCACTTTAGGTAGTTCCTGTCACACTGATGTATGCCCAAGTGTTTGTTTTTCTGATAATTTTGGGGTAATTAGTTATTTGGTGCTATTAAAAGGAGGGTCGAAGTCATAATTAATAACTATATGTGCTATTCAATTGCCCACGATCAATGGTGCTGCTTGCGACTGGTTGGACAGCAGGAACTCAATACCATGGAGATCGCTACTGCACAGACTCTGGCTCCATATGTCATCACCAGCACAAGATGGCAGCGGCCCTATCCGAGATATTTTGGCTTCATTTTTGTACAGTGGGAGGAAGTGGAGACGTGTCATCCATCTTTATAGGCTACTTAGTGCCTTATTGCATTAAATATATATACAGTGGCATGCAAAAGATGGGGTACCCATGGACAAAATCTCTCATACTGTGAATAGATTAGTAAGTAGAAGATGAGCTGGTCTCCAAAAGGCATGAAGATGAAACATGCTTTTCAACATTTTAAGCAAGATTAGTCTATTTTTTTTTGTTTTGTATGATTTTAGAGTGAAAAAAGAAAAGGAGCGCCATGCAAAAGTTTGGGCACCCCAAGACATTTGAGCTCTCAGACAACTTTTAACAGAGTTTCAGACTTTAAGTAATTTGTTAGGGCTCTGGCTTGTTCACAATCATTGCTAAGAAAGGCCATTTGATGCAAATTTAAAAGCTTTATAAATACTCTGCTTCCTGAAACCTTGTCCCAACAATCAGCAGTCATGGGCTCCTCTAAACAGCTGCTTAGCACTCGGAAAACTAAAATAACTGATGGCCACAAAGCAGGAGGAGGCTGTAAAAAGATAGCAAAGTGTTTTCAGGTAGTTGTTTCATCAGTTTATAATGTGATTGAGAAAAGGCAGTTAACAGGAAGTGCAGAGGTCAAACTGAGGTCTGGAAGACCAAGAAAACTTTCCAAGATAGCTGCTCCTAGGATTGCTAGAAAGGCAAATCAAAACACCCGTTTGACTGCAAAAGACCTGCAGGAAGATTTAGCAGACTCTGGAGTGGTGCACTGTTCTACTGATGAAGTTAAAATATGACTTTCTGGACACAATGAGCATAAAAATATAAAAAGAATACCTGTCCATCTGTTAAACATGGGTGTGGATCAATCATGCTTTGGGCTTGTGTTGCAGCCAGTGACACGAGGAACATTTCACAGGTAGAGGGAAGAATGGATTTTGTTAAATTCCAGCAAATTCTCGAAGCAAACATAACACCATCTGTAAAAACAAAGCTGAAGATGAAGAGAGGATGGCTTCTACAACAGGACAATGATCCTAAACACACCTCAAAATCCACAATGGACGACCTCAAGCGGCGCAAGCTGAAGGTTTTGCAGAGAGGCTCTTACAGTCACCTGACCTACCTGTAAACAACAATAAAAATCTTTGGATTGACCTTAAAAGAGCAGTGCATGCAAGATGGCCCAAGAATCTCACATAACTAGAAGCCCTTTGCAATGAAGAACAGGTGGAAATCCCCCAAACAATAATTGAAAGACTCTTAGCTGGTTACAAAAAGCGTTTGGAAGCTGTGATACTTGCCAAAGGGGTCGCAACTAAGTACTGATCATGCAGAGCGCCCAAACTTTTGCTTCAGGTCCTTTTTTTGTTATTTTGAAACTGGAAAATATTGAATTATTAAGTAATCTGTGTCATCTTTAACCTCATGCCATTTGGAGATCAGTTCGTCTTCTACTTACTTTTCACAGTAAACTAAATTTTCATTGTGGGTGCCCAAACTTTTGCATGCGGCTGCACTGTATAATGATATTTAAGATTTATTTTATAGTTATTTAAGATTTGTCTACAGTTTACTGTTCTGGGTTATTTTACTTAATACATAATGTGGGAAAGAAAACAAAGCTGTTCAGGTTGATACAGAATCTCTTGCTTTTATTGTGGAAAGCATCAGATGTCCTGGTCTCCTGGTGTCAGTCTATTTCAACACACATTGTGTTGTAATGTTCTTCTTTCATCACACTGAGCCAATGGAAAAATTCCAGATTCTTTTTTTAATTCTAAATTGTGAAACATCAACATGGACAAAAAACTCACTTAACCACATATGCACATGCAAATTTTGATTTCCATAAGGCATGTTTTGCATGAGATTTTTTTTGCATAGAACAGTTTAAAAATTTGCAAGAGATATTGCACATCAGATAAGGGGCTTTTCTGTCCCCCTTTGTCATCCTTTCCCTTCCCTTTAGGCTGCTTTTTCACCTGTTACAGGCTCATTTTCAGCTCCAGTTTTCTGCGTTTATGTATGTGTTTCTTTGTGCTTATGCTCTTTCCACATACTGTCGCCCCTATTCTCTTGTCTCACTTTACAGAGCAGAAAGCCGGCAAAGCATCCACCCGCTGGCGCCGCACAGAAAAACATAAATGATCCCAGGCTGATCAGAAATGGTGGGAGTCATCTGCTCCAGCAGTGTGGCTCTGAGGGGGAGAGACAGCAACTAGGATCCTGTTTCAAGCATTCTTGCCAGACAGATAACACACTGAAGTGTCCTTGAGCAAGACAATGTATCTTTATGACTTCAGGGTGCAGCTTTGTGACTGACACTGATACCTCATTTGAACTCAAATGAAAATCACGTGTTTGCTTCCCCACGGTAGACAAACAATATAATATTGAAAATAATCATTGACACATTTCACTAAAAAATACATGACTGCATGTGTACACGAATCTAAGATGTACTTCATTTTGCTGCCGTCTAGGGAGAGCTACAACAAATATACTATAGACTGTCTATGTCCCCTTGTAGTGAGCTCCCTCTGTGGGTGCAGATGGGGAATTGCAGGCAAATAAACACTAACAAGCCACTCTCAAACCATAGTATTTAATTTCCTGCTCTGTATTTGATGCTGTTATTTGGATTTTAATGCATATATTAATGTATTTTGCATGTATGGGTATGTCAGGTTAAAACGACTTTCAGCTCTTAACTTTTCCTTATCAGATAGAGGAAATACCAACACTTTGTATGCCTAACATCGTCAAGGTCATGCCCCTTTCCTTCTCACCCACACACACAATAAGTGAACACACACGGTTTAGCCAAGCAGAAAAGATTAAAAAAGTAAACACAGTATGAGCAGTGGTCGACTGTTTCTATGAGTTAATGACTTTGTTTCTTACTGTAACCAGCTGCTGTCTCTCTCAGTTCCTCTTTATTTTTCACATTTTCACGCCAAGGTGACCAATATCATGATGCGGCCTTTGAAAACCTGGCAGAAGGTTGGTACCGTAAAATGAAAAATACTGTATTTTTCATTTCTGTTTAGGTAAACGATCATATAATTTAAGGCTGCTGATCCTGTTTGTCATGTTCTCTTGGCTGTAGAACTGCGCTTAAATGAGTGTAATTTGGTAGGCAAAATTATTTTGAAGCAATCAAATATCAGCGTGGGTACTGATGATTTGGCTTTTTTTTTTTAAAGCTTGATTACTTGTTGCATGCAGCTTTAGAGACTCATAACACAGTATTGATTTCCAGATTCAGCTGATGTTCCTTACTGGCCTTCAAAGCAATATGATCCACCTTTTTTAGCAGTGTTTGCTGTAGTCACTAAATTACAACACAGTTTAAAGGTCCTAAAGCCTACAGAGTCCTGATGAAGCAGATTAGCTGCGTTTTTGAATGTTAAAGAATGTTAGTTTGGATTTTTTGAAGTTGGGTTGTATGACGTACTTATCCATAGTCAGTATTACATATAGTAGATGACAGTCAGTGTGCCCCCAGTTTGAATCTCCTGCTGTGAAGGGGTAAGCAACAAAACTAAAAGATAAGTATCAGTTGAAGGGTATGCTATATTTAGAGTATTTTCACAGCTTTACCTTTCTGTCAGATAGCCAGTTTTGATGGGGAAGGTGTTATCGGCTACAGTTCTCCATCTTTGCTCTTGTCAAAGCCACGATTCCATTGACAAACCCAATAATTTTAGCTCGCTGTACACAGGAGCTGCTGGTGTACCGCTGTTTTGATCAGTTAGTTGGTTTGTGTTATTGTGTGACTTTGGTGAATCTGAACTGACCCTTTTAAACGACAAAGTCACACAATAACACAAGCTAACTAACAGATTGAGGCAGGGGTAGACCAACAGCTCTTCTGTACAGCAGTGTTAAATCATTGTTTTTCTCAATGGAGTCTGGCTTTGAAGAGAACAATATAACTGCTTCATTTCCAACACATTCTCACTCCAACCTCGTCACATATCGACGTTTGGTCATGGACTTTACATGTCCAGATATGACTTGAAAGGTACCCTGGGTGCATTGGATGTTGACGTTCTGGGACGCCGTGTCAACTTCTGCCTGTTGCATGCATTGTCTTCTTTCAAAATACACTTCCATTTACACAGGAAATTCTCTTAAAATATAACCACACAGTAAAACACCATGAATGAATGTTTTTTTTGCCGTTAACAACTAACGCACCTGGTTAGGTTTAGGCAACAAAAGCACATGGTTGGGTTAAGAAAAAATAACAGGGTTTGGCTTTGTAATCTTATGGGACGAGAACATCGACTCCCGGGTTAAAGTCTGTATTTGTTGGATTTCGACAACCTTGGAGTGAGACCAGATTGTCATTTCCTGTTGGAAATCAATGTCTAACATTAGGGTAAAGCCGTAAAAATATTCTGAATATGCTGTACACTGGAACTGATATAGACTTTTTTAGGTGGGACTTTTTTTAGGCGGCTAAAATATATATGTTTTGTCTAACCCCCTCTCAGCAGTAGACTGCTTAGCCTCCATGTCGGACTCCAGCCTGCTTCTCCAAACTGGGGGCGTACCAAGTGATAGCTATTGTAAATGATATACTGTCTATGGATAAGTACCCCATACAACCCCTCTTAAAAAAACTATGAACTATCCCTTTAAATTCCTGACTAATAAGAGCTACGGTTGTTTTTTCTTTATCTTAAATCTAATCATTGCTTATTTAGTCTTGCTTACTTTTGTCTACTGCTGCAGAGAAATACTTACAATATGAAGTTTTCAGAGGCTTGAAGAAATTTTCCCGTGAAATGGGTGCATTATTTGTTTACTGACAGTTGTTGGGTTACTTTAAATCTACTTTTTCCTCTCTTCTGCATGCTGCAGAACTGAGTTTACACAAGTCTAACGTCTGAATTTGGATGCTTCATAGACAAGTGTAATATGTCTTAAACTTTCTGGAAATAGCAGCAAATAGTTCTTCATATTTCCTCCAACTAGATGAGTGCATCTGATTGGTCCAACCTGACCCTCCACCTGGAGGACTCCCTGACCAGTGCTTTGAGCCATTATCTGGACAGCTGGAGGCGTAATGCGACAGCTGCAGCCGACGCTCTGGATAAGACTCTGGCTGAAGAGAACTTCAGGAACGTCATCTGGTATCTGGCAGTGATGATCGGCATGCTGGCCTTCATTATTGTGGCCATCCTGGTGAGCACAGTCAAATCCAAGAGGGGGGAGCACTCTAATGACCCCTACCACCAGTACATCAAGGAGGAATGGACTGCTCAACAGGGTGACGTTGTGACCAACTATGGAGCTAAATAATGCAAGACTCACAGCAGATCATCATTATCATCAGGTGCAGCCAAGACAGTGGAGCCTGTCTGGATGTAGAAACAGCTCCTTGTCAGTCACCGTATGCAAAGCAACAGAATGAACGTTATATTCTTAATATAAGCTTTTTATAGAAAATAATAGGTGTAATCCTTTTGTAATCACCAACATTTTGATTAGCAACTGTAATTTAATCACATTTTTTTTCCTCTGTAAGGGATTACAATTATATTTATTTTTTAATTTAATCACATAACTTGCTACTGCTAATCAGAATAATAAAGTCTACTCAATATTGTATATCTAACTTGTGCTTAGCTCTATAAACCTCTAGATATTATAGATATTATAACACTTTAGACTAACATCAATAATACCTTTATGCCATAGGCCTGTCAGATGAACTCAAGTACCCTGTTACTGACACCACCTGTGATCCTCCATATGTGCTCATTCTCTGACATGTTTGTGACATATGAACCTTCTAGGATCCTGGGGACATTTGGGGCTGGCCTACTGACCGTCCCAAAGGTCAGAGCAAAACACAGTGAAGCAGCGTTTTGTTATCATGCAGCACAGTGTTGTTAGACAAGCCCCGACTCTGACCACTTTTAGGTCAAACCTAAAAACATTTCTTTTTTACACTGCCTACTCACTCAAATTTAAATGATCTCTTTATCTTTGCGCCTCTTGTCTGCACTTTTGCCATTTTTAATAGTGATTTAAAAAAAATTGTAAATCATTTAGTAAGTAATTTGACCTTTTATATACATTTTTTCCTCATTACTCTCGTCTGTATCCTCTGTAAATCACTTTATATTGCCCTTGTGTATGAAATGTGCTGTACAAATAAAGCTGCCTTGCCTTGCCTAAATTAATTAAGATTTTGATGTTATTTAACACTGCTGATTATATAAAAGTGAATGTTGTCACTATAAAGTTTCATAGTGATCATAATATAACAATATTTAAAAGGGCTGAATTCCATTTTTTCTTCAGTTCAAGGGCCCTGGTATTGTCTCACTCACTGTCTTGGACACTTAAATAGAACCATCGTTAACGTTATTAGAAAGACCTGTGCTTTTCCTGCTGTGACAAGACAACATGTCTGCTGTGGAAAAAAGCCTATTGACAATAAATAAACCAGAGATCAGCCTGTTACCATTTGGAGTATTTGTGTGTTTATTTTTTGCAAAATTATTATATTATATGCAGTGTTGGGTAATAATAAACTACATGTATATAAACTACTATTTTAACTACATGTTGCAGGAGCTCGCTGATCTTTCAACTACACTCATATTTGCAGAGTGATTCAAGTATTAGTAGTTACTTTTTTGCCATATTTTGTGTAGTTAACTACTGAAACTACACAATTATCTGCCATAAAGGGAAGCAAATGTTCAGAGAAGTTGTTGCATGCTATTTAGAAGTTACCTGACTAGCTGGCCAATCTGGCTTGGCGCAATATCTCCTCCTGGATTCTGGTTTTTAAAAAGCAGGTGTCTGACTGATGGACATTGTTTGCAAAACATAAGCTGACAGTACTCTTACTTTGTCATAAATAGTGGGGTATTTTATTTATTTTTATTTTCATTTTTTTCTTATCTATGCAGGGGTGCAGCAGTCTCTGTGGCCCTTCTGCCCTTCCTCTCTTGTGCTATCTCTGTCACACACCTTTCAAATTTTTTTTTTATCACAAAGTCAGTTTGCTTTCTTCCACTCTCCTTCCTTCCTTCCTTCCTTCCTTCCTTCCTTCCTTCCTTTCTTTCTTTCTTTTCTTTCTTGGAACCCTTATTTCCCTTTCTTGGGGAAAGACATGACACATGACAGGAGTATGCTTGTGCACCAGCAGCATAATCAGTCACTGACTTGACTGAAAATACTTTTCATCCCTGTGTTTTCAAGGGCCCCCATACCATTGGAGTGCTGTGTAATCAGTTCCCCTCCCTCACTATGACGCCACTGCATGTGTGTAAAACTTTTAATGACACTTGTAAACTCAAGTGAGTGGCATTCTATGCTGGCATGTGACTTTTTGTATTATATTTTGTTATAATTTGATACCACCGTCAATTCTGTCTTTTTTCTGTAGTTCAGCTTCTTTCAGTGTGAACAGATTGGTACCTCACAAAGCTGTGCTTTCAAAGTAGCTTCCCTAACACTGATTATATTTTTTCTTAAAAGCTGAGATACGGCATAATTCACACATCCCCTTGAAACTGTGGAAAATACCCACTGGGATACAAGTACCTCTGTTTGGGAATCCCTGCATGTCTTAATTAAGCAGGTCATACTTTGTTTTCACCTGCAGAGGGCAGAAGAGGCTCCTTCTTAAGCAGCTAGAGAACTATTGTACTTCAGAATGGAGGTGAAGAAGACTAAAGAGGAAGGCAAAAATAGAGGTGCAGCTGCTGCGGCTTTGTCAGTGTTGTAAAAATGGTGAGTGTGAAGACTAAATATAGAGTTGAAGAGGAAGATCTTTGAGTCAGTGTGCAGGTTTGTGAAGAGTGAAATTAGGAAAGTTGTTTAGAAACCAGGAAGGCACAACCAACATGTTTTTATAGAAAATAATATATACACTTCATGGTCCAATGCACATGCTAAACTCATGAGACCACATCTGCAGAGCGACCACCACACACAGATTATTAGAGCTGCCCTTTGCACACCTGTTGCTGTCACTTAAAATACACCATCACTCTCTGCTCTTGCACCAAACCAAACATCCACTGTGTTTTTGGTCCTTACAGACTTAAACACCTCAAAATAACTGAACCCTTCAAATCTCCAGGGCTCAACTCCATCCTCCCACATCCCCAACTCCCTCAAAGAGACATCACAGAGAGCAAGAACAGTACTCACTATTAAATCCCCCGGTGCTATCTCTCTTTCTCACTTGCAGCTTTATTTTTAGCTTTCAAACAACTGGTCTCCTAAAAATGGGCCTGTCCTGCACAAGAAGTGGGAGAGGAGTGCTGCTATGTATGGTATCCACTCCCCCAGCACCTCACAGGCCCGACAGTGCTCCTCATTTGCCTTTGTGTCTGCAGAGAGAAGGCTTGAAGGAGTGCTCACGGGGAGAAACAGTTGCTAGGTCCTGAGGATGCTTTTAGAAGTTGGATTTCTCTGCACGACTTGGGATGCTTGAGAACTGCTGCTGACGGACCAACTTTTATCTGCAAAACTTTTCTGCGGCATTTCCTACACTCCCCTTCCTCCTCTAAAGGGCTTAGGTGACCTTTTTGATTGTGCAGTTTTATACCGTGAAACTGAACCCAAACTCGGGGGTGTGTGGTAGCTCCGCACCATGCTCTCCCTGTGCTTGTTCCTGCTCTCCTGCCTGAGCTTTGTGCCTCTGGCCCCGGCCGAGAAGGGCCTGGAGTTCCCACAGTATGACGGGAAAGACCGCGTCCTAGACATCAATGACAAAAACTACAAGAAAGCCTTGAAGAAGCACAGCATGGTGTGCTTGTTCTACCATGGGCCCATACCAGACAACAAGGAGCTGCAGAAAAAACACCACATGACTGAGCTGGTGCTGGAGGTAAAGTATTAAGAAGAGGGGAAAAGCAGGTACAGAAGAGGTGCCGGGGTGCATTTAAGAGACAGGACAGAGGAAGAAGAGCATGGATCAAATTTGAAATGTTTAAAAAAGGTTGTCACTACAGGAAATGGAGGAGAGAGAGAAAATGGAAAGGACATGGTTTGTTTTGGTGGCAGTGTTATGAAGGAAAGGACACTAATAGTTCAATAAACCAGACACATATAAAAGATTTAGAGTATAATAACTCCATATCAGTGCCCAAATAATCAGAGAGCCAGCTGGTGAGATATAAAACTCCAAATCTTTCCGTCTTAATCTTTGCATGTGTGAGTTTCGTCAAGGTCAATGTGTATCTGTACGCACTGTATTTCATCGCCTTAATTCAATGTGCGCTTCTGTCTCCTTATAAATACATCACCCTAATTCTCCCTGTGGTTCCCCTCCACAGGCAGAAACAGACCAAGAGCTCATGTGTATTATGTTTTAGAGCGATACATCTGAAGGGCACAGCTACTTTCTCCTCTGTTGCAGTATTTTGGTAGTCTTTGTTGGGGGGTGAAAGCAATCTAAAACAGCTTGGACTTATTTTGCATTCAGGCTCAGTCAAACAGCTGGTGCCTGACGTCCAATTGATAGACTAAATTAATATCTTTGTTAGAATCCCATACAGTAGGGAACAGTGTGCACTGTGCCCTGTCTCATGTTACACATGGCTGAGGGTGAGTTGCTCTCTGATCTGCTGAAGGTAATCCGAGCCCAGTCATGCAGTCCTGATATTAGCCTCACTTATTTGACACAGCACAGGTGGGCCATGTTGCTACAGAGTCAGGCACTCACGTACGGTTACTGTGCACAATGATGAACTTCTTAAAGGTCACATAATATTTGACATATTTGCTGATTTGTCCCAAATATTTAGAACTTGCAGATGGTTTAGCAGCTTTACAACCTGTTTGAGATCTGCTGACTTCATCTTTGTTAGCGGAAAAAACTCAAAGGTGCAATTTAATTCTGCACTGCCATTGTTGGTGCATTGTTAGGTTTGTTGGTGCCACCAACTGTAGATCAGTGGAATAGCGTGAAACAGACGGCAGGACCAAGCTGCGACCTCCAGGGCTGAAAAATGACGCAAACGCTGAAGTGCCAAAAAAACCCTGCAGCTCTTTGAACAACCACTTGAGGCTGGCTCCAGAAGCAAGTCAGTCCTGATAATGTCAAAATGGCCAACTTTACAGTGGTACAAAAAAAAGTTTCAGTCTCTATAGCTACTTTCCCCTTCACGACAACTACACAGGGAAGTTAATTTTTTTTTTTTATCAAGGCTTAAAGTTATGCAAAATTAAGGGCAGGCTGCTTTGAATGACAGGTTGTCTGCCAGTGTATTAGGTCAGATCTACCCCTCACTCCTCCTGAACTCCACCCTCTTGTCCAAATGTGATCACCTCTGGTCACTTCTGGCTCCAAAAATCTAAGATGGTGACAATCAAAATGCCAAAACCAGAAACTTCAAAGCCACAAACCAATGGCTGATGTCACGGTCTCTACCTCCAAGAGCTAACAGGGAGTTAGCTTAGCATAAAGACTGGAAAGAAGCAAACACACGC